AACTTGTAATGTTTTCTTCTCCCCTGTATTTCTTCAAGAGTGAGACATGAAAAACTGGGTGGATCCTTGCTGAGGATGGTAATTCAAGTTTATAAGCCACCTTGCCAATGCGTTCTTCGATTTTGAATGGTCCATAATACCTTCTTGCGAACTTGTGATTATGTCTTCTTGCCACTGAGGTTTGGCGATACGGTTGTAGTCGTAAGAAAATCATATCCTCTTTCTTGAATTTGACATCTCGTCGTTTACTTTTAGCATAATGTTCCATTCGATGTTGTGCTTCTTTAAGGTTTTACTTCAATGTCTTCAATAGTTGGTCTCGTTCAATTAACATGTCATCTAGAGCTTGGTTGGTTGAGGAATATTTTTGGTAGTGCAAAATTGTAGGTGGTGCTCTGCCATATAATGCCTGAAAAGGTGTCATTTTGATCCCACTGTGGTATGTTGTATTGAGACAGTATTCTGCCCACCCTAAAAAAGATAGCCAACGTGATGGTTTGGCATGCGTGAAGGCACGTAAATATTGCTCAACACATCTATTCAGTACCTCTATTTGGGGATGGTACGCAGTGCTACGACGCAACATGGTTCCACTCAAGGTGAACATCCCGTCCCAAAAATTGCTTAGAAGGATGGGATCTCGATATGATATTATAGATTCCGGAAATCCATGGAGTTTCACTATAATTTCAATGAAGAGCTCTGCCGCTTTTACTGCTGTAAAATGGTGTGGGAGGGGTTGGTCAACCTATCCACCACCACCATTATAACTGATTTTCCTTGTGACATTGGAAGGCTGGTAATGAAATCCATTATTACATGAGGCCAAACTTGTGAAGGGATAGGCAGCGGTTGTAGGAGTCCTGCTGGTGCCTGAGTGGAGTACTTTGTTTATTGGCATGCATGTTAGGAAAGCTGCTACAAAATTTGCTACATCTTTGCGCATCTGTGGCCAATAAAAATTAGAAGATAAGCGCAATAGTGTGCGTGTAATTCCTGTGTGACCTGCCATTGGAGTTGCATGAAATTCTTGGAGTAACCTGTATTTGAGGGAGGAGTTCTCGCCTATAAAGTAGCGCCCTTTGTATAGGAGGATACCATTATGGATACTGTAATATGGTGGCAACGTGCCTATTGATAAACGATGTTGGAACTCTTGGAGGTCTGGCAATTCTTTGTTGTCGTTCTGTAATTGGGCAACAAAGTCTGGAATTGGTCGACTCAAGACTTGTAGATGCACCTGATTGTCATTTGGTTGTTGTTCATCTCCAATTCGTGATAAGGCATCTACTACTTTATTGGATCTGCCCGGTTTGTAGTGAACTTCAAAATTATATCCCATCAACTTATGGACATAGAATTGTTGGTCTGGTGTTTGGACTATTTGCTGTAAAATTTCTTTAAGACTTTTGCAATCAGTGCGAACTATAAAAAATCGTCCAAGAAGGTATTGTCTCCATTTTTGGATTGCTTCTACCATTGCATGCAACTCCCTCTTATATGCAGAAGACCCTTGCAGTCTAGGTCCAATCTTTTTGCTAAAAAAAGCAATAGGTTGTTCCTCTTGCATGAGGACTGTTCCTACACCAATGCCAGATGCATCTATCTCAATCACAAAGGGTTGGTTGAAATTAGGGAGACGTAGAACTAGGGCCTTTGTCATGGCATCTTTTAAGTTTTTGAAAGCATCTTCTGTAACTATTGACCAATGAAAATTATCCTTTTTTAATAGTTCAGTGAGAGGTGCTGCAATTTGTGCATATCCTCTAATAAATCTTCTGTAGTACCTAGTCAGTCCTAAAAATCCTCTCAACTGCTTTAGAGAAGTTGTTGTTTTCCAATTCACCATTGCACCCACCTTGTTAGGATCTGCTCGTACTCCCCCATTACCAACTATGTGTCCTAAGTATTCTATAGAAGATTCGCAAAATTGGACTTACTGAGTTTCATGTAAAATTGGTTTTCCTCTAATAACTGTAGTACCTGTCTGAAGTGTTCCACATGCTCAGGCATAGTGTTACTATAGATTAGAATATCGTCAAAGAAAACGATCACAAACTGGCGGAGGAATGGCGAGAACATTCTGTTCATAGTTGCCTGGAATGTTGATGGTGCGTTTGTCAATCCAAATGGCATGACTAGAAATTCATAATGCCCTTCGTGAGTTCGGAAAGCAGTTTTATAAATGTCATCATCATGAATTCGAATTTGGTGATATCCAGCTCGTAAGTCCAATTTAGTAAAAATTGTGGCATTCCCGAGCTCATCAAAAGGCTCATCTGCAGTTGGGATTGGAAAATTGTCATGGACTGTTACTGCATTCAAAGCTCTATAATTTACGCAGAAACGATAAGATCCGTCTTTCTTTTTAACTAGCAATACTGGAGAGGAGAATGGACTTTGACTTGGCCTAATTATTCCTTGCTCCAGCATTTCTTTAACCAGCCGTTCTATTTCTCCTTTTTGGAAGTGTGGATAACGATATGGTCTCACATTCACGGGTTTAGATCCTGGAGCTAAAGTGATCTGATGGTTTAAAAGTCGTTGCGGAGGTAAACCAGATGGTGTGTGGAATAAATGTTCATATCTATGTAAGATTGTCATGATCCCTTGTGGTAATTGGTCCAGGAATTTTACATTCTCAGATTTTTCTATTACATTCCTTGAGTCATCTGATCTATGGACCAACTCGAACATTTCACAAACTCCATCGTTCCTTAGCATGGCCTATAATTGATTAAATGATATTTTTTGAGGGCTCAAGGTTTGCATTCCAGACAAGGTGATTGTTCGTCCTTTCCATGTGAATTCCATAGTGAGGCTAGCATAGTCATGTGCTACTTTTCCAAGGTCTTGTAACCATTGGACTCCTAATATGATGTCTGGTCCTTGAATTGGTAGTATATATAAATCCATAGTAAAATTAGTGCCCTGCAATTTTAAACAGACATCCTTGCTACAGTAGTTACATTCCAACGAGTCCCCATTGCCAATATAAACTCTAAATGTTGGAATTTGATGTGTTTCCAAATTAAGCCTTTCTGCCACAGTAGGTTGAATAAAATTGTGTGTGCTCCCTCCATCAATTAGCACTTGGACTTGAGACTTTTCTAATTCTCCCCATAAGCGTAATGACCGTGGAGTTCCCGGGCCTGCCATAGTATTTAGGCTAGAGATATCACCTAGAATCACTATCTCATCTGCATGATCATTGATTGGATCTTCATTGTCGCCTATAATAGTAACCAAATCATCATCATCAGTACAAAGGAGCATCAGAAATCTGCTTCGGCAACGATGGTTGGCCGTGTACTTTTGGTCACAGTTATAGCAGAGTCCTTTAGCACGTTTCTCTCTTATTTCCTGTGTTGACAAACGTCAAATTGGCAGGGTGTTAGGAGTTGTTTTAGTTGTGGTTGAAGTTTGTGCTGGTGTCGTGGATGGGTTTGGTGGTAGCAGTGATGGGGTGGTAGTTTCTAGTGATGGTGTAATTGGCATTGGATTCCTATTCTGCCATCTAAAGGAAGAACGTCTGTCCCGTGCCAAATCTGCTTGTAATTCCTGACTTTCATGTTCCCGTGCCAAAGCAAAAGCCTCCATTAACGAAGGTGGTCTATTCCGTTGAACTTCCCAGCGAATATGAGATTTAAGGCCAGCTATAAACATCGAGGTTAGCACTGGCTCAGAGATTCCTATAACTTTATTCATAAGGCATTCAAATTCTAATTGATATTCTGTTACTGTTGTGATCTGAATCAACTTGGAGAGTTTTCCTTAGTAATCTTCGTACCTTGAGGTCCCAAACCGTAGCTCAACTTTTTGCAAAAAATCTGCCCAGGTGGTGAGGAGATTGTTGCGCTTCATCCATTGGTACCATTCTGATGCTTTCCCTTCCATGGTGAAGGCGGCAATTCTAACTCGTTGTGTGTCGGGCGTATCATAAAAGTCAAAATATTCCGTAGCTCAAAAGACCCAACCATACGGATCGCTACCATCAAACTTTGGGAGTTCGATTTTCATGGTATGAAAACTTGGTGGTCTGGGTGCTGCTATAGAAGTTGTGACCATTGGATAGGGAAGAATTGGCCTTGCTGCAGACGTTGTATTTATTGGCTGTGGAAGAATAGGTGGTGGTGCTGCGAACGTTGTGGCTGCTATATGGGGAATGATAGGTGGTGGTTGGAACATATTCTGTGGAGTTTGTTGTGGACGATAATTGGTTGTCAACCCTGCTACCATGTGCTCTAGTCGTTCCATAGAGCCGAACAACTGCTGAAGTCTAGTATCAGTTCGTTGTTGGTATTGTTGATTTGTGAAAGAGTTTCTATCAAATTGTTCTTGAAGATCTGCTAAAGATAGACCGGCGGATGGGGATTCTGATGAGGTTGGCTGCTGAGTTTCAGACATAATGAAAGCACCAATTGATGCGATTTCGTATCAAACTAGCACTATTTGGAATGACGAGTAACTTTCTTAAAAGAAATAAAACTTAGACAATTAGGAAGAAGGAAGAATGAATACTGAAAGAATTAAATATTGTTCTCTGCTCTCTCCAATGCTAGCTATCAACTATATAAATATAAATGCTTTTTCCTACTCCTATTTAGGAAAGTAAATAGCTAATCCTGGTTAAACACTTATGTCACATAATCATTCAGCCATTGAGGGGGTCTTCTATTCCTTGTTGGTCTACGACTTCTGTCTCCTTCTTCTACTTGGTTTTCTTGGGCTACTTGGCTTCTTTCAGTTTCCATGTCCCTAGTGTGTTCTCTATTTTCTTCTTCATGCCTATCATCTTGTAAGAATGTATCAGAATGTTACTGTACATAAAACATCTTACAACATATGAAGACTTTTCAATCAAAATGCAGTGCACCATTTCATGGAAAACAGACACTTTATGCAACATAATATCCAAATTAAAGTTAAGGGTGCATCATCAACTCGGCAAAGCTCCTAGCTATAGAACCTGAACACTATGACCTCAACGACGACTAACCATGGGAACAAAAACTATGAATAGGAGGAGTGTCGTGATATTTCCATGGCTGGCGTACGCCACATTACACCCTTCATCGGACTGGCCAAGAATCTTGCAGACAGAGGTTTCTTGGTCCATTTATGTTCGACCCCAGATCAAAAACAACATTTCTCAATCCTATTCCCAATACATTCGATTACTGGAACTCCATCTTCCAGAATCGCCGGATCTTCCTCCTCAGTACAAGACCACCAATTGCCTCCCGCTCCACCTCCACGATGCCCTCAAAAAGGTCCTGAAAATGGCGGAACCTGATTTCACCAAACTCTTGAAAACCTTGAACCCGGATTTGCTAATCTATGATGTCGTGCAATTATGGGCGGAAAAGGTTGCCTTGTCGCTTGATATCCCTTCTGTCCGGTTCTTCTCCGCCAGCGCCGCCATGTGCTCGTACTTCACGCACATGTTGACTAATCCAGGCGCCGAGTATCCCTTCCCGGCTCTCCGTCTCCGGCGATACGAACAAACGAGAACTTGCGAGCTCATGAATCAGGGGACCCTCAGCGACATGATCGAGGCTTCAATTCCGGCGGGCTGCCGAAGTTAATGGCGGCAGGTTACACTTTTCAGCTTCTCAATGGTATTTATTGCATGCACACTGTCGAATCTTCCACTATGACTTGAAGCACGACAACGTTCTCGTCTTCCCCGGAAAGTACACCGGCGGGCACTGCCTCAAGCTTTGCGACCTCGGACTCGCCATGTTTCCCGCTGAGGATAATCGCCGTAAAGGAGAATGTTTACGGCACCACCATCTTACTCAATTGAGCGTGGTCATCGCCATCTGACTCAGGGCGTCGCGGAGGTGGAGCGGGAGGCCAAAGATCTGGTGATTCTGGAAACGATGAAAATGCAGGTGGAAGAAAGCAAGCTAATGAAAATACCATTTTCCCCCCTAAATTAACGGCTAAGGGATTGATAGATAACAGAAGGACTATAGCTGGAACAAATTAAAAAATCAAATGTCTTTTTTTGTTTAAATTAAAATTTGATGACTAATTTTAAAAAATTACAATAGTCGAGAGACCATTGTTGGAATTAACTCTTTTCATTAGACAATGTTATTCGCAATTTTAAAGACATCAACATGTAACCTCCCGTCAAGTCTATATATATATAAACAAAATCCTCTTATTTCATTTTCCCGCTCAAACTTTTGTAGTAAAACCTATTTGGTAAGCAAATGTAAAATGGAAATTAATTAAAATTTTAATTAATTGATAATATTACATAATTACACCTTTCCTTTTTGAAAAATTATACAAGTTTATAATTCTCATATTTTTTTCTACCTATAAATACAATGAATTGATTTGGAAATCATAATTTTTCATTTTGCACTTTTTCCCTCTTCTTCATGTTCTCTTTGTGGAATCATATCTTGGTGTTGCACTCATGAAAACATAAGTATTTTTTTACAGTTTTCAAGATTATTATTATTATTATTATTATTATTATTATTATTATTATTATTATTATTATTATTATTATTATTATTTTGCAATTGTAGCTTGAAGTGTTTTTAGTGCCGCTCGATCCAACGGATTGAGTGTTGATGGAGACCTGGGTAACATTGACTACAAAGCTGATTTCTTAATTTTCCAGCAGCAAGGAAGGGCCGACGTTTTTCTTATCAGAAATCAAACTCTTATTCTCCTCACAGGCAATGAAGCGCTTTGTCGAACCGAAAAGTGACTTTTTTTTTTTCTCTTTATTCCTCTGAGATAATTACAAGATGTATACGAAAAACGAAATAGAATCCTGGTTTCAACACCAAAAACACAGAAGTAAGGATAGAGATCGAGGACTAAGTCACGGATCTGAACTAACAAATAATGTATAATATTATTCGTACAAAATAATGTATAATATTATTAATACAAAATGTAAAAATATTATAATTAATATAATATACACTTAATATGTGTGCGTGTGTATACACTTAATGTATAATATTATTAGTACAAAATAAATTATACTTGCCTTAATAATTAATTATTAATATTATTGCCTAATAATTATGTATTATTCCCTTTTTCGGTGTAATTATTATGGTAATCTATATACATATATATTTTTATACTTAATATATAATATTATTGGCATAAAATAAATTATTATTACCTTAATAGAATGGTAATTATTCTAATAATTTTTCTTTCCTTCGTTCGTGTAATTACTATTGTAATGTATTTAAATATTGAAAGAGAACAAGTATTATAATTAATAAAAGTATTATGGTAATTGTCACAATATTTGGTAATTATAATTAATGAAATTGAGAAATATAAAATTTTTTCTGTGAAAATATTTTTGGCAATTTCATTAAAGTATAATTAATAAAATATGAAATATAATTAAGGAAAGGAAATTATAAAATTAACAAAATATAAACATTTATAAAAATTTTAAATACATACATACATACACTTATGCACTATATTAATCATACAAATTTAACTGCTACTTTTAAAATTTGTAAATGTAATTTTTAAAGTATAAATCTATCAATATAAGTCTATACTATTATTAAAAACAAAATTCTCCTTTCTTACTTTCCCACCCAAACAATAAAAAAGGGAAAAAATTTTACCAATTAAAAATACTAATAATAATTAATAAGACGTTAGTAGTAAAATAGAAAAAAAATATCCTTAATTCACGAAAAAATAAAAAAGGAAATGATATTCACTTATTAATTAATACTAACAATAATCAGTAAAAAAAAATTTGTAGTAAAATAGGAAAATAAAAAAAGATCCTTAATTCACTAAAAATGAAAATATAAACGGAATTTACCATTTATTACTAATAATAATAATCAGTAAAATAGGAAAATAAAAAAGGAGTCTTAATTCAACGAAAATGAAAAAAAAAAAGGAACATTGTGAAAAAAGGTCATAATAAGGATAACAATAAAAAAAATCCTACCAAAAATTAGAAAAATAAAAAAGATTCTTAATTCACGAAAAATATAAAAGGAAACGGAATTCAATGATTAATTAATACTAATAATAATCAGTAAAAAAGTTAACAATAAAATAGGAAAATAAAAAAGGATCCTTAATTCACTAAAAATCTGTACTATTATTAAAAACAAAATCATCATATCTTACTTTCCCGCCCAAACAATAAAAAGGTGGAAAAAATTATCAATTAATAATACTAATAATAATTAGTAAAAAAGTTAGTAGTAAAATAGAAAAAAAATCCTTATTTCACAAAAAATAAAAAGGAAACTGAATTCACTAATTAATTAATACTAACAATAATCAGTAAAAAAAAGTTTGTAGTAAAATAGGAAAATAAAAAAGCATCATTAATTCACTAAAAATAGAAATATAAATAGGAAAATAAAAAAGGAGTCTTTTTTTTTTAATGCTACTAGCTCTATTACATTGTAGTATCTGTTCATATACTTTCTCAACCTACTGAAACACAAAGAGTCACACTGAGGCTCGAACTCATAACCTTCCAAATGGAAGTCCAACCCGGATACCATTAGACCACATAGTCCTGGTAAAAAAAGAGTCTTATTTCAATGAAAATGAAAAAAAACAAAAAAACGGAAGGTTGTAAAAAAAAGGGGTTATAATAAGGATAATAGTAAAAAAAAGATCCTACCAAAAATTAGAAAAATAAAAAAAATTCTTAATTCACGAAAAATAGAAAAGGAAACGGAATTCACTGATTAATTAATACTAATAATAATCATTAAAAAAGTTAGCAGTAAAATAGGAAAATAAAAAAAGGATCCTTAATTCACTAAAAATGGAAAAAGAAACGAAATTCACTCATTAATACTAATAATAATCAGTAAAATTGGAAAATAAAAAAGGATTCTTAATTCAATAAAAATGAAAAAAGGAAATGAAAGGTTGTTAAAAAAAAGGTCATAATAAGGATAATAGTAAAAAAAAAAAAATTAATTCAATAAAAATGAAAAAAGGAAATGAAAGGTTGTTAAAAAAAAGGTCATAATAAGGATAATAGTAAAAAAAAAAAAAATCTTACCAAAAAAATTGAAAAAAAATTCTTAATTTACGAAAAATTGAAAAGGGAACAAAATTCACTGATTAATTAATACTAATAATAATCAGTAAAATTAAAAGTTAGCATAAAATAGAAAAAGATTCTTTTTTTTTTAATTTACTGGCTCTATTACAGTGTAGTATCTGTTCATATACTTCCTCAACCTACTAAAACACAAAGAACCAATAACACCTCCACTGAGGCTCGAACTCACAACCTTCCAAATGGAAGTCCAACCCGAGTACCATTAGACCACATAGTCTTGGTATAAAAAAAGATTCTTAATTCACTAAAAATAAAAAAAGAAACAAAATTCATTAATACTAATAATAATCAGTTAAATAGGAAAATATAAAAGGATTATCAATCTATACTATTATTAAAAACAAAAAAACTCCTTCCTTACTTTCCCACCCAAACAATATAAAAAGAAAAAAATATATACTATAATTAAAAATAAAATCCTATTTACTTGATTTTCCGCCCAAACAATAGTAATTAATACAAGTAAATTAAAAAAAAAAAGATGAAAAAAAAACAAAAATATTTCACAATAATATTCCTACATCATCAATTAAAAATGGAATGAAAATGAGATAAATTGGAAAAAGAAATAAATATTAATAATTGACAGAAAATTAAAGATAAACAAAGAACAAAAATTAGGTTAATTGAAAAAAGGAAATGAATATTAATAATTGTCTGAAAATAAAAAAGAAATTATCCATAACTGATTAAAATATAAAAGTAAAATGGCCAGATCATTGCATTTAAATTTTTCACAATAATATTACACATTATAATACATCAAATTACAATTATGTCATAAATCTTTCACAATTTTAAACAATAGAATAAAAATATCTCAATAATAATATTCTACATAATCAAGTAAATGTAAATTAAAAATGAGAAGGAAATATTTTAATAATAATATTCTACATCATCAATAGTAAAGGCATATTTTAAACAATAGTAAAGGTAAATTAAAAATGCAATGCAAATTAAAAATGAAACGAAAATATTTTAATAATAATGTTCTACATCATCAATTATAAATGAAACAAAAATTGGGTAAAAATATCATTGCATCTGATATTTTAATTGACTAATTGACTAAAAATAAAAAAGAAATAATTGGCTGAAAATGAATATGATATTACTAATTGACTGAAAATATAAAAGGAAATAAATATTAATAGTTGACAGCAAATAAAAAATGATCCAAAATTGACTAATATGAAAAAAATGGTTAGATCATTGCATTTTAATTAACAATGGAAGAGAAACTAAAATTGAACGGAAATATTTCAATAATAATATTCTACATCATAAATAGTAAATGCATATTTTAAACAATGTAAAGGTAAATTAGAAATGGAACAAAAATATTTCAATAATAATATTATACATCATCAATTAAAAATGGAACGGAAATTAGGTAAAAATATCATTGCATATGATATTCTAATTGACTAAAAATAAAAAAGAATAATTGGCTGGAAATGAATCTGA